CCCCCCCACCCCCCCCCACCCCCCCAGTTCCCCAAGGTCCACCCAGGGATTGAGGCCAAGACACCTCTCCATCTGGACCGACCGCCAGGCCCGCTGAGCTCCAGACCAGAGAGGGACAGAGCCCCGAGGGCCGCCAGAAGCAGTACCAGCAGCCTACACACCCGAGGGCCACCAGGACCCCCACAAACCGCAGTCAGCCCGCTACCAGATGAAGCCAAACCCCACCAGGACGACCCGGCCAAGAGCGCCCGCCCAACCGCCGACAGTGCCAGGAAGCTCCGGGAGCGAGCCCCCACCACAAGAAAGGGGCCAGCCAGTCGGCCATGCACGGTCCCGGGCCGCCCCCAAGGACATCCGCCCCGTCCCCACCCCAGAAGAAATACTACACCCACCCCTCATTCGGACATCTCTCAAAACACATAGCACACTAGACACCTAGGCTGGGTCAAACTACCCCCTCTTAGGGTCCACTGGTCACGCCCCCAAACACCCAACCCCCCCAGCCCATGAACCCACAACTCACCAGCGAGCCGAAGGCCCCCGCCCAGAACCGGGCACCAGAGCGCAAGCCGGCCCAGAGCCCGACAACCCGCCCGCCAGAGCCCAAGATCCCCGATCCCCACAGGCCCAAGTCCGGGGGCGACAAGACCCCAGAACCCCAAGCCCCCGCGCCCACCTCGAACCCACACCAGCACAGCCAGGCTACCAGATCGGTGACCCACGACCGCCGCCACTCACGCATGCTCTCTAACTCACTCATTCTAACTCTCACTCGCTCGCTCACTCACTCACTCACTCTCTAACTGGGTAGTTAGAGGATTTAAGCTTTAATATAGTGTGTATTTTTGAACTGAATTGAACTGAATTTATGATAATCACTAAACAATTAAGGGTTTAAACAGGCATTTATTCACTTTTTATCTTTTGGATTTTTCTGAACATTTGGTAAAACATTATGATCCATTTTGAAACAAAAGCAGCTTGTGTGAGCAAAGTAAATTCATAAATATTTGCAACTACCGTACATTAAAATCCATGACGCTTGTTTTATTTTCTTGTTACTTTGCTCACAAATATTTATTCCTTTTTGCTGTTTTACCTGCATTAAGACACGTTAAAATCTCCAAGCAGAACATTTCAGAACGCGAAAGTAGGCGTCAAAGATTTATGTACCAACACAATTTCTTCCGTCATTTGGTGAACCATGTCAGAGTAAAGGATCGCACCATCAGCCTCAGCTGCGCTGATGTCTCACATCGTTATCCGTTTTGTTTTGCAGCGACAGGTTTCGATGGAGAGCAGGCTCTTGGTGTTCAGCTGCTGCAGTTCAGTCGCAGAAAGAAGCAACTCATCAATGGAGAACCCCTCCCACTCTCTCCCCGATCATACCTCTCCTGGCTGGGATTCACGGCCGAAGGTCTGAAGCATATATTATATATGTATATATTTTTTAAATTTAATTTAATTATTTATTTATTTGTTTATTTTTTTGAATGCTCGTGATTCTAAAGCGGTTGTTGTTTTTCAGGGACGCCCTGCTATGTGGATTCAGATGGCGTGGTACGGATGCTGAACCGCTCCCTGGGAAACACGTGGACACCAGTTTGTAACACCAGGGAAACCTGTAAGAGCAAATCGGATCATTACTGGGTGGTCGGAGTGCACGAAAACCCTCAGCAGCTCAGGTGAGCTCAGTGCACGCTACACTTTGAGTCTTTAGAGTGGAGGGATGCTAATTTTTAACAGGTGAAAATACAAGGCGTGAAAATAATTGTTTAAGAACAGATTGAGGCATTGATGTTATGTTTTATTGCTTCTTTTGTTTGTATCACTTAAAAGCTCACAAACAACAAATGAGAATCAAATTTTCAACAGAGTTTCAGTTTTTGTTTAATATATTTATTATCTACTCATTAAACCAACATAATCCAGATTTTGATGGTATTTTTATTCATTTCCCCTTATCCTTGAATCCTGTCCCTTCCTGTCCTGTCAGGTGTATACCTTGCAAAGGCTCCAGGTATCCCCCCACCCTGCCTCGGCCCGCCGTCGCCATTCTTCCCTTTAAACTCCCTCTGTGTCAGACCAGCACAGAAAAAGGCCAAATGGAGGTAAGGAAATGGAGGTGGAGTTGCAACACGTTAAATTTCTCGTTGAACTTCTGTTGAAGATTGTTCTGCATACTGTAGATTAAAATGTTCTGTCACTGTGCTTTCTGCCATCTTTTGTTGTCTTCCAGGAACAGTACTGGCGTTCAGTCCTCTTCCACAACCACTACAACTTCCTGTCTTCCAACGGCTACGAGATCAACGAAGATGCTCAGAATGAGTCCCAGAAGGAGCAGCAAGAGCTGCTCATGAAGATGTTCGCTGTAAGTACGAACACTGTGTTCACACGTCGGCAGTGGGCGGTGAACGCTGGAACATAAATTGTTACACTGAAAACTGTCTCAAGTGTGTTTCTGTGTAAATTCTCCATATGAGGAAAAATGATGTCATTAAGAGGTTAAAATAGATTTTTTTAGGTTCTTCTTTCCTTGTCTACATGGAAACAGTTCTTCTGAAGCCACTTTATTTATTTTGTTGTTTCTAATAATATCCTCCTAAACGCAGTTGTGTTTCTAGCAATGTTTTCATCCGCACACAAACATCAAAAACATTGAAAACGCTGTCGTAAATGATGCCTTGAGAATACACCAAAAGCTTTCAGCGTGCACATAAGCTGTGTGCGACATAAATACAAGAAGAGAACGCCCTCATTTCATAGATTAGTTAGTATAGGTTAGGTTAGAGGTGGGGCTATGACATCACTGTTTTCAAAAAGTTGTGTTTTGGCTGTCTACATGAAAACGCCATGGTGGTGTTTTAAAATAGTTTGTCAATGTTTTCCTAAAATACTGTCTTTGGGCTCACACAACACAAGTTTGATGCAAACGTAAAGCTGAAACAACAGGGGGGAACCCTCAGGGCCTTCTACACCTTCAGAGAAGACCCATCAATTTAGTTCATATGAACTGTTACATTAAACATATACATATACATTTTATATAAAGTATATGTATTCGCAGTATTTTTTTTTTTTTGCAGTATTTTTTTTTTGCTCATTTCTTCCCCATTATCTGTAAACTACTTTGCAGTTGAATAAAAAACATTTTGATTCATGACAGTGATGTTATCCAATCAGATTCCTGTAAAGTTACACCTCCAGGCTGAACCATGTGTGAAGGAGTGCTCATTGGTTAAGACTTGACTGTCAGAAGAGAAGGCACAGCTCGGTCAACATCTCTGCAGGATGACTTTAATTAATAACTGACAGGACAATGAACCAGTCACAATGTTAATGTAAAGTGGGACCAAAGCACACAGAGCTACGACTTCAGGATTCCCCTGCAGGCGGTGCTGTAACAGCTGCTGAGTGTGTTCAAAGCACTTACCGGTGCCTGAGCAATGTGTGAACTTTTTTCCAGGGTGGTCTTTGCAGAGATCATGATAATATTCCGAACAGGAAGACCAGCTCCAGCAGTGGAACTGACAGAAAATAAAATGTGGTGAAAGTTGCTTTGGAGTTAACTTTTTATCAGCACTACTCATGGATGAGTTGTTGTTTTTTTTCTACTGCCATACTTGCTGCCGTACACGTCACACCGCCGTATAAGTTGCTCCAGTCCAAAAATGTCTAATAAAGTGGAAAAAACCATAAATATGTCACTTTGCCATTTCAGTCGCATCTATTATGCGTCACCGCTGACAACCTGGAAATGTGTGTTGCGTCAAAAGTTGATTGGCTGCAAATGGCAGCCACAGGAGTGTGCACAGGAGGACTTTAACAATAATTTAACAACACTAACACTTAAAAACTATTATTTGTTTGCTTAGCATTATAGTAAAGATGTGTCTCAGTTGAACATTTCCTTAATAAATGCACTTTGACTGTCAAATCAGCTGCATTTCACCGCCCAGGTGAAATGCAGCTGATTTGACGTTTGCTCCAGGAGTTCCAGAGCGAGACGAAGGTGGCTTGGTATGGCAAGACAAGTGTCTCATTAATAGCCACTTTTACACATTAATGAGACACTTGGCTTGTCATATGAGTCAAGGGCCCTCTAGTGGTAGTGTTCAATATTTTCCATGTCAGAATGAATGAAATCGTCAGCCACAAGTTGGGTTATAAATTTGGAGAGAAAACATAAATATGTCTCTTTCCTGTATAAGTCGCAGGCATGCAAATTTATGCAAAAAAACTTGCAACTTATTCAGTGAAAATTACAGTAGTCTTTTTATTTGTTTTGCTGAAAAGAACTAAATTGTGTTTTTGGAGCTGCCTGTTTTAATTTAAATATGGATAGATCATCATCAGAGCTGGATTTGTTAATGTGATGGTCCGTTCAAGGCAGCATCTCTGCAGGCTGCAGGGAAGTTCAAAGCTTTTAGACCATGGCGTGGATCACTAGCTGGACTAGTGGCCCCACTACCAAGTTCTGTCTCATAATGTCAGGAGAACACATGGTGTCTTGTTGGTGTTAAAATGTTATTTATTTAGTTGTTTAAATATGAAGGTTTTTGATGCATTCAAGTGCAACCTATAAATTTGAAAATCCACACAAACTGTAGCCGCCCCCCCCAAAAATAATTAAATACCCCATTTATGTTGTGTTTTGGTTTCAGTGCATGATAAAATCTTACAGAAACAGGACGTTCTGTGGGTTACTGCTCCGTCTGAATTCTTGAAATTACACGTACTTGAACGCAAGAGGCTCTGTGAGCCCCAGGGGCTGCTGGGTAGTCTTGAGACAGAAACTGGTGGACTTTTTTTAGGATATGTGTTCAGATGGGTCGTCCTTGTTCTGTTTAGTGTTGGCATTTATGTTCAGGTTGTTGTGAGTGAGTGTAACTACAAGGAAACCATACGTCAGATGTTGTTCCTGATGTATGAAGAGAAGGAAAGCACTTCCTGTTTAGTGTCTAAACCAGGAAACTGTAAGTAGAGTGATGTGATCAGAACTGGACTGTAGGGTCTTCAGAGTTCGAGTTTAGCAGGTTACAAACAATATATTATCCAAGCTGAAGGCCCAGCTCTTCTAGTCATGGTTCACTTCTTTAAACTTGAGTATGACCACATGTCTCTGAGGACAGACCCTCGGTCCTCTCTTCTGTTTTCTGCTAAACTTACCTTAAAGAAGAGAAATAAAAGGCAAGATTTATATAGCTAGATCCTTGCTGTGCAACTTTAATGCATCATTTAGTTTATTTATTTTGTTGGAACAGCTGAGGCTGAGCGGTTGAACGTTTGTCCTCCAGTGAGTGTTGGAGGTTCAATTCCTCCAGTCAACAGTCACATGCTGAAGTGTCCCTGGGCAAGACACTGAACCTGTCATTTCCTCTGATGTGTGTCCCATCAGTGTATGAATGTGCTCTAAAGCTGTGGTTGGTCCCTACAGATTCAGATGATCTTTGTACAGACCTGGTAGAGTGCAGTGTGAGTGTATGGAGGTAAATGAAAGCACAGATTGTGCTGTGAAGAGCTCTGAGTGTCCTGGTCGGACTGAAAGATTTAGATAACTAAATCCATTTACTGTTTTCACTGTCCAAACAATATTTCCACCTCCAACTGTTCCAAGCTGCAAATTACCCAAAGATTTGCATTTAGCTTTTAAAACAGACTAAATAAATAATAAAAACCTGTGTCAGTTATTTCAGTACGATCGACATGATTCGTCTTAGTATTTCTTTTAAAACGCAGCCGTATCGAGTCCAAAGCTCCGACTCTGTACAGAGTGCCCTCCACCTCTCCTGAAACGTTGCCCTGTTGTGTCTGCAGCTGTCCTGTAAACTGGACAGAGAGTTTCGCTGCGTGGAGCTGGCAGACTTGATGACTCAGAACGTGGTGACTCTGGCCATTCGCTACGCGTCCCGGTCCCGGAGGATGGCCCTGGCTCAGCGGCTCAGTGAGATCGCTCTGGAAAAGACAACCCAGCTTCAGGAAGACGAGCCGGAGGAGCAGGAGGAGGAGCCGGACTACTCCGGCATCAGACGGCCCTCTGGGTAAGTTTAAAACTCATCCCTCCTTCTTGTTGTATTTTTCTGTTTGTTTTTTTGTTAGGTTTTTTTTTTTTTTTGGGGGGGGGGTACATAAACCCAATGAAATGTATTCAAGTACCACAAAAGCAACCAGTAGGAATACATTTAGTTAGACTTGAGATCAGGCCAGAAGAGATGGAGATGATTTTATTTATCTCAGATGAACATTTGGAGTTACCCTGACCTGTTGAAGAACTTACAGTGAAGCACGGAGACGTGAGTGTCATAATATGGGGCTGCATGACTCCAGAGCCCTGAGTGATGATGGATATTGATACAGTCCTAAATGTTGGTTTTCCTGCGGGATCAAGAAAGTTTTATCTAGGGACGCACGATATTGGATTTTGGGCCGATATGCTGATATGATAAAACTTATTTGGCCGATAACCGATACCGATTTTTATTTACTTACTTATTTTTTCCCTAGACCTACTTACAGAGACTACATATCTTTCTCTGCTGTGGAATTAAAATACTATATGCTGCTTGGTCTTTGTCAGTTTGGCTGCTACCAAATGCAGATGAGAAAAAGGAGCTGAAAATGATGCAACACTTCAACTTGGATTATGTTTAATGTCAAATTTATTCATGACATTTACTCTCTAACACTCGAACAGTACACATCTGTAAATTTTCACAAATCTAAACTCAACAGCGCGCGTGATGTCATACTGTTGTGCTGGTGCTGCAGGCATCCTTGTCACTGGGTTGTCATACAAAAACAGAAGCCTTTTATATCTGTGAGTTATTTGGATGGAATGGCCGATGTCCGATATTGAACTTTAACACTAATATCGGC